GAGAGGGCTGAAAGCCCTATGAAGCGGTATATAAGTCTAACCGCTATTGCTATTGCTAATTTGTGCCAGGATTTTTTTTTTCATTTTTTTCAGAATTGTAGCCTATTTCACAATGACTACTAGACTTTCCATGCATTTGTTTATCAATCTTTTTCTGGGTTGCTTCTCTGTAGGTGCCGCTACCTGGCATGAAGTGGGTGGATAATCACAAAGGGGTCTTCAGTGTGGAAGTTCTGGCTGTCTCCTCTGTCCACACCCAGGTGAGAAGATAAATCAGTGGTTGATCTTCCACGTTGCCCCAGGAAAACAAAGAACAAACCAACACTTAGTTGCGTAGTCAAGTTGTTTTTCAACTCGGAGTTTGCGTTAGTTTTTTGCATTGTTTTTGCCCCCTCCAAATCTAAAACAGAAATCTTAGTCCACATATAAATTAATTTTCTTTTTACAAAATACATGCCAAACATGTTTCCAAATTCATAATGTATTCCTTTTTTGGCAGCCTATTAGGCAAAATTGTAAGGACCTGCGCCAGCTGGTCCCTCGGGAAAGTAAGACTATCGAATCCATGAAGTTGAATCAAAAGAGCTTTTACTGAGAGAAAGTAATTGCAGGAAAGCAAGGAGGCATTTGAAAAGTCCCTCGCAAAGCAAGCCCCTTGACCAATAGGATGCTGCCAGGTTGTTTTGAGAACACTGAATGTACCAGGCAAATAACAGTTTACCCTCAGGGCAGGACGGCCTTGGAACCAGGCTGGGACCAGCTGGGAAGGGAGTGTGCTCTGTCTCCAAAAACAACCCCCCTCCCTAATTCCCAAACAGTTACGGCAAAAGCAAAAGCATGTGAAAATGCCAGCAAGCCTCCTCCCCACCCCTCCCAACAGAATGGCAGGACACAATGGTGGACCTGACATGCCACCCCTCCTGAACAGAAACGTTAGTCCTGGAGAGTATAATAAAACAAACAGGGAGAGAAGAAACGTAAAACAAGAGAAACGTCATTTGGGTTTTTCAGGATATTTATTATGGAAGCGTTTGATGAGTTTCGGGCTCTAATGTGCCGATGGTCAACCCATTCATTCTGAGCTCTTTGGAAGTCTTTCCAGGCCAGTAAGTACTGAAGGGTCCCCTTATGCTTATGGGAATCTAGAATTTCCAGGATTTCAAAGTGCGGCTCCCCTTCTATAATTAAAGGCTCCAGGATTGGTGGAAGTTTAGATCTAAGGGGAAAAGTAACCTCTGTAATTATGTATGTATGTATGTATGTTTAAGGTTTAAGGTTTTAATGGATTTGTATGCTGTCCAATCCCAAAGGACTCCGGGCGGCTCACATCAAAAACAATTTAAAAATTAAAAAAGTTAAAAACACAAGACAAGCAAATTAAAAAGGACACAACATGCACTTGATCTTAGTGGGGCTGACGCTCAATCAAAGATTAGCAGCCCCAGGCCTGCCGGAACAGCCAGGTCTTAACAGACTTTCGGAAGGCCGAGAGAGTGGGGAGGGTCTGGATCTCTGGGGGTAGATCGTTCCATAGGGCCGGGGCAGCTACAGAGAAGGCCCTCCCCCGAGGAGCCGCCAGGTAACATTGTGTAGTCAACGGCACCTGGAGAAGGCCCTCCCTGTGAGATCTTATTGGGCGCTGGGAGGTATGTGGCAGAAGACGGTCTGTGGCAGAAGAGGTATGTGGCAGAAGACG